TAAAGCTTTGCTCATATAGAGAATTTAATATCAATTGAAAATGATCTATATCTTAAAGACACTTTATTTAAAACTTTTGAATTTTTTCATGGAAACTAATCTAATTGAGTTCTCTACATGCTCAAAGTTTTTCAGATTAAAATATGAGTTTTTTGAGAACTTGGAGCCTCTAGCAAAAAAAAAATTTCGATAGTCCTAGTCAATAAATATCTTTCAGTTATTCATATATACAGATGATACTAGAACTTTATTCATAACTTACATCAGTTCCAAGTGGATCATTTTCATTATCATTTGGATATGATTGTGCTTCAAATAAACTTTCCAAAAATCTTGTATACATTTCTGGACATTGTTTAAATGAATGTTTTGATACAATAGCTGAACGATTAAAATCAAAAAATTCTTGTTCATCTTTAAAAACAACCTTTTTAGAAAATAAAGAACAAAAGATCATGTTTTTTTTTTTTTGTTTTTAAATAAATCAAAATTTTTTGTTTATTACTTTTAATATATGTGCTTGTAAATCTCCACGACGACATTCTTCTAAAATTAATCGTCCTAAATTTCTTTCAATAGAATCAATTAAATGTTTTGCTGAATTTTTATCAAGTTTAACTGAAACAACACGATTACCACGTTCATCACATACAAATGTACGTCCTTTACGATTAAATAAATCACTATATTGAAATGATGGTTCAAATTTAACATCATTATCAGCACGTAATGAACCCATAACTAAATCAGGTAATTGTACTGGATGATAACTTGATCCTGTTGTTGTTGTTGATGTTAAATGTGGATTATCATCATCAAAATTTGACATATCATCATCATCAAAATCTAAAACACGATGTATTGATGCTAATTCATCATCATTTAAATCCATGCCAAGTTCATCATCAGAATCAAATGTACTATTAAATAAATATGAATCATTATCATATTTATTTGATGTACGTGATGTTGTTGTTGTTGTTGTTGTTGGTTGTGTATTTAAACGTTTTGTTGATGATATATCATAATCAATTGAATCAATTGATGATTGATGTGGACGTATACGTACAATTGGTTTAATATCATCATTATTCATTATTGTTGTTGTTGTTTCATTTGTTAAATTTGTTGATATATCATCAAATGTTGATGATGATGATATTTTAACTTTATTATTTGGTAACATTAATACATCAACAGATAATTCATCATGAGATTGTGATATTTGATCATTTAATGAACGATAAATAATATCAGCATCAACTTTATAACGTTTTGATGGTATAAATGTATCATTTAAACGTTCAACAAGAACAGCACATGGCCGAACAAGATGTTGATGATTTTTTTGCATTTAATTTATCTTAAAAAAAAAATATATATTTATGATTTTGTTCTTTTTTTTTTATTCCTAATGTTCAACTTTTTTCATATAAATTATAGATCCCCAAGGAAACCAATCAAAGCAGCCACGACGGTCTCCTCTTGGACACAATATTTCATATTATTATTTAGAGGCAAAAAAAAAAATTATGACTAGCTCCCTCTGTTACGTGTATTGATGAGACAGAATTTTTCATTCATTACCGAGGATTTATTTAAATAAAATTTCATTGGTGAATAGAATTTATTTTTTATACAACTTTTTAAAGAATTTCTTTTTATTTTGATAAAAATAATATTTTTGTTTTTTTTGAAAATAATTTATGATTAATTTCGATAGGAAGTATTATTAGAGCGACATCTATAATGCTTGAAATTTTTTGGACTTGTGTCAAGATCGTATGTGATAGATCATGTTGTTTTTTTTTGTTTTTCCTTTTTGCTAGATAGATTTTAAATAGATGATAAAATTTTTGCTATTGTTAAAAATTATCAATATGAAATTTAAGACGTATGTTTTCTTTTTTTTTTCATTGTTTTATAGAATTTTGAAAGAATGAATTATGAATGGAATTTTCCTATTACGAAAATATTTTATCGAATTTTTTAGATTCAAGACAATTATTCTGACTGTCGGAAACGATATGAGATGACTATAGAACGGCATATTGTTGTATCATCGATCAGCCTGGTTTTTTTTTCGCTAACAAATTGTCATCGGTAGAACCTCGCACGAAGTCAAGTAAATTTTTTTCTCGAAAATTCAATTTAACATATGAATTTTTTGAATAGTAGATTTTGTTGTCTGATAGATGCATTTTGAAGATTTTAATAAGGCATTCAGACATGAAACAAAGTCCAAGTCAAATTCAACACAGACTTTATTTCAGTGTTCATAACTCCTTATAAGACTTCTTTTCAAGTTCGAATATACATCAGTTTGTACAGTTAATATAAAATCTACTATTCAAAAAAGTTCATAGGTAAAAAACGAATGTTCGAGAAAACATTCAGTTGACTAAGTGCAGGATTCGAGTCATCGAATACTTGTTGAGCAGGTGTTCTCCAATATAAAAAAATGTGTTCCATTTTCTCATATCATATAATCCCAGACTATCTTTAATGTTACCAAATATTTACTGTGTAGCATTTGCTAAATGAATATTCGACCATTGTTTCTCCTATTATCTTCATTGTATTTTTTTTTCTTGAATATGGAATCATTAAACGTAATTCTTTCAGAAAATACATTCTATTATATATTTAGAAAAAGAAATTTGTTTTCGATTTCTAGATAAATCATGTCTTCCGATTATGATGTTCACATTAACAATGATGATCACTTTCAAGCTGTGTATAAAAGTTATTCATCTGCATTTTTAACTGATCGTAATCGAACGAATGTCGAAACTGGTGGTAAAATTTTACTTCCACAAACAGCACTCGAACAATTAGCTGAACAAGTAAATAAAATAATGTTTCTTATTGATCCAGTTCGTGATGAATATGAAATAATCTTTGCTTCTATTTTCGGACTTCAGCATTAAAACTCACATAATACAATAATTTATATTTCTCAACGATCAATTCTAAATTCTTTTTTTTTTACTGATCATTTAAATCATAGACTTTGTCTTTTTTTTGTCTTAGACTGGTATTATGTTATTTAAAATAACAAATCTTGAAAATAATCGTTCAACTCATTGTGGTGTATTAGAATTTTTACCAGATGATGACTCTAATTGTTATTTACCATATTGGATGATGAATTATTTATCATTAGATGAAGGTAATGAAATACATATTGAATCTGTTCATTCATTACCATTAGGTACATTTGTACGTTTTCAACCTCAATCAAAAGATTTTCTTGATATAAGTAATCCACGAGCTGTTTTAGAACATGTTTTAAGAAATTTTAGTTGTTTAACAAAAGGTGATCTTATATCAATAAATTATCTTAATCGTAATTATGAATTATTGGTTTTGGAATTAAAACCTTCAAATGCTGTATCAATAATTGAATGTGATATTGAAGTTGATTTTGCTCCATCAATTGATTCTATTGAAGATAAAACTTGTTCAACAACAATAAATGATGAACATAATTATAAAAATTCATCAATATTTATGCCATTTTCTGGTCAAGGAAATTATTTAAATGGTAAAGTAAAATTAAATTATAAAGAACAACAAAATAATATAGAAATTTTACAAAAACGTGGAATACCAAATTATAATTATAAATATGGTTTATTACAATTTCCACGTATACCTTTACATTCGATAAATAATGATATAAATAATGAAGTATTAGATAAAAATTCTTCTAATATATTTCAACCATTTACAGGTCAAGGAAAAACTCTTAGACAACCTCGAAATTAAAAATCCAAATGAAAAAAAAAAAAAAAAGAAAATATATTTTATTCTTTTTTTCCTTAAATCAATTTATTTCTATTCTAGAGAAACTGACATATAGATAAAGAGAATAATAAATTTTTTTTTTTAATTTTGTTTATTATTTTTAATATGTACGAAGTTCACGTGGTACACGACCATTGGTTAAGTCACAGAGAACATCACGTAATTCACTGTCAGAACAAACATGAATTGTTTTAGGAGGACAATATGATCGACGTGTATAATAAGGTGATGAGCATCGATCATAAGATGATGAGTATCGATCATATGGTGATGAATTACAGTAACGATTCCATGATGATGTTACATCTGCCATTGTTACATAGCTTCCTCGACGTTCACAATAATCATCATCATAATAACAATCAGGATTATATCGATATCGACGTGAAGATTGTGTACAATATCTAGAAGGAGAATCATAATCTAAACAATCATAATAATAAGATGAAGAACGAGTGATCGATGGTTCAAGCCTCGTTCTTTCCCATGTATTGTATATATGAGGAGATGGAGCACGCCGATATCTATCACAATAAGGATCATAACTATCATCATATCGATAACGATAATCAATAGGTGTAGTTGATCGTGGTGGTGGAACAACACGAGTTGCTTCATTAACTAGATATGAATGTGAACTTTTCCATCTATTAAGTTCACGACCATATCGTCGAACATAAGAATAAGGATCAGCTCGAATAACTCCTTCATTTATAAATTCTTTACGTACACGTGCATGAGGTGCATCATGTAAAACGAGTAGATTTGGTTCTTCTGGTCGTCTAAGTAAAAGAAAGTATAAATAGATAAACGATTAGATATAAAATATATACATATGATGTGGTTGTGCTCGTTCAAGAAGAATACGTCGTTGACTTTGTTGTTTATAAGGTAACCAACGTTCAATAATAACATCGGATGGTTTAGGTGGACATGGTGGATAACGTTCGACAATAAGGCGACGTCGTGGCCGTGGTGGAGGAGGTAAAATTTTTTTAATAACTGTTGCAGGAATTCGGGGTGGAACTGGAGGAGGTCTTTCTCGAAGTATCTTTTAAATTAAAAAAAACATATACAATTTTATTTAAATGAAATATAGTTGTAATTACTAGTGGTGGTGGTGAAGGACATGGTGGAGGACGTTGTCGAATCTAAAGTAATGTAAAAAAACCAATTTGAATTCGAGATAGAATTGATAATTAGTACTTGAATCGGTGACTGGGGAGGTGGTTGTGGTGGACGAACTTCACCTAATAGAAAAAGAAAAACAGACCTTTAGAAAATTAAGTGTTTTTTTTTATTTACGAATAATAAGTGGTCCCGGTGGTGGTGGTGTCGGCGGTTTTAAATATCGTACAGTAATGTTTTGTTTATATGTAACATTATTTGGTAATTTTTTACGAATGACAATTGGTGGTTGTCTATTTATTTTAACATTATCTATTATATTTTGTTGTTGTTGTTGATATATAGCATTATTATCTATTGGCATGTTTATATATTCACTTCTATCACGTGTAATATTTATTGGTATTTCACTAGTATTTTCTATATCATAGGATTCATCATAATTATTAAGAATATCATCTGTATCTGTTGTATAATAATCTTGTTCAGAATTATTAATAATAGTATTTGTTGTATTATAGTCTTGTTCAGAATTATCAATAAGTTCATTTGTTGGATAATAATCTTCTTCAAAATTATTAACAAGAACATTATCTGTATTAATTGTATTACCATTTAACATAGAAGATCTTGCGTGTACAATTTCACTTTCCCATCCAATTGGAGCAGCAAGAAATGGAGGTAATGATTGAGCAAGAATTGAATATGGTTCATCATTTGTTGATATTGAATTTATTGGTGTTGATGTTATATATGCATTATCATTTGTTTGTAACTGTGACATATTTGCATTTAGTGATATTATTTTAGTCTGGAGAAAACCTAATTACGTTAAATGTTAATAAGTAAAAGATAAGAATGATGTATTTTTTGTTTTCTTTGTGTATTTAGTGCGATTATCAAGGTTTTAAGCGGTATTTTTCTGATCCCGATCATTTATTACAACCGAAAAAGAAAAAAAGATACGTATTATTATTCAATGATATGTCATGTAGAAGACATAGAAAAGTGACTGATAGTTACTACAAACGAAAAGGAGGCAGGGCAATCATTGAGAGAAAAAAAAAGACCAAGGACAGATAACTGGCCGTGATTTGTATTATTGACAAGGCTTTCTTTTGTTTTATTCTTTTGAATTTTAATCATCTTCTTTTATAATCTTTTTCATTTCTGTTGATTGATATGAAAAATAGAGATAACTTACTTGAGTTAGTTGAATTTCTACATGTGAATTTGTTCGAGTTTTGCAATTATTATTAAGGGGTAGAAGAAAGTAACAAGACGAAAAAAAAATATTGAGACCATATATAGAGTCCTTCATGCATGAATAAATTCGTTTCTTTTTATAAACAAATGAAAAATAAACCTTGGTAGTTAAATTAATGAAAATGTTTTTAATTAAATTAATAAACAAATAATTATTTGAAATATGATATTTTAAAAAACCATTAAATTAATAATGACGATCAAAAGAAGTAGAAAAATATACTTGGACATTTAATTGCATGTCATTGATAATGACTTTTTAATTTTGTATACTGTCCATCATATTTCTTATATCAATAATATTTCTTTTTTTGTATTCTTCATGTTTAATTTACTGCAACGTAGTCGATGAATGTTGTTTAGTAAATTGAACAAAATATGAAATAATAATTGGCACTTTGTCACAGAAAAGATCATTTATAGAATATGCATCATAATGAAAACTTTATTGAAAAATATATTTATAAGTATAAATTTTATATGTTGATTGTTTCTATTTTGTTTCAAAGATTGTTTCATAAAGAAGTTCAAATCAACCTTGAGGTCTCGTTTCTTTTTTTCTAGTTATGGTTAATTTACACGGTTCTTTCTCTTTTTTTTTTTTTGTTGACCTTTGTTTTTCAGTCTTATATCAAACATGTAAAACTTGTACAAATAATTCATATTGTGAATGTAGAAAATAAAAAAGAATCATAAAAATCTAAAAACTTAAAATTTCTATCGTATGTATTGTTTTTTTGTTTCAGATAATAATGTTAAAACCAAAAGCATTAAGTGAAGTACTTGCACAAGTAACTAATGGAGGAATTCAATCGACTGTGTATGTTTATTATCATTATTTAATCGATGAATATTTAGTTAAAAGAATTTTTTTTTGTTCTAAAAAGCTTATTGACACGTGATGGAGCTTTACTTGCTTATTCCGGATTTGAAGCAAAAGATGCAAAAATTATTGCTGCAATGGCTAGTAGTATATTTGCTGCACATCAACGTGTTCGACAAACACCTGCATCAACACTTCCACAAAATATGGTTGGTTCGGGTGATTTAAATATGATATTACTTGATGCAGAAGTAAATGGAATTTTTTCTTTTTTTTTTTTTTTTTGATATAGAATTTGTTAATTGATTTATTTAGGAAGGAAAAATGGCTATTGCTTCTGTAGCTACTCAACTTGTTTGTATGGTAGCAAAAACAAGTGTACAATTAGGAATGTTAAAAGCTAAAGTAAATTTATTTAATAAATAATTATGTTTTTTCTTTATTTTTGATTTGTTTTTTTTTGTTTTAGATGGATGCTCTTTCATCATATCTTCAAGAACCATTACGTCAAGTGTCCCAAAGCAATAACTAAATAATAATATTCTATAACTTTTTGATGATTATGTTTTCCTTAATTTGTGTTTCTTTTTGTTTTTACTGTAAATGATACATCTTCCGGTCAAGAGCATTTCGTTTTCGTTTTCTTTTTGTCTATTATCTTAAAGAAAAAGATTAAAATAGAAAAACAAATCGTTTTTTTTTCTCCTTGATTTTTATTGCACAAATTTGTTTTTTATAGAAACTATTTTCTTGTTTTATGTACATATTGAACAAATTTACTAAAGTAAACCGTCGACAGAAAAAAGACGACGGGTAAATTTTATTCAATGGATGACGATTGTCTAACATTAGTTGAAGATATTGATAATGAACAAATTAATGAAGATGATGATGATCCACTTATAGCTGAGGTAGGAAAATGAATTTCAAGAATGATACGAGATTGAGATTTTAATATAGACGTTTCTTCTCGAATCATTCTTCTCAACAATAGTTCTTATGGTATATTTCTACTTAAGATATCGTATGTCTAAAAATCGAATTCTTTTTGGAGCAAGTATTATCTCAGAAGGGAAACATCCGGTTGAGCTGAAACATATCATGAGAGTTATTATTGAAAAGAATTTCAGACCGAAATTCCTTATTACGATTTTTTCGTGAATATTCAATCCAATGACTATAACTCAAGAAGAGAGACTTAATGATACAAATCTTTTTAGAATTTTTATCTATACTATGAGTTCAAACGAAGATTATCAATCGGATGGGTTTACTCGTTAGCTCAAACGTACGAACGAATGTTTCTAAGTGTCAAGTTGTTTTTGAGTCGGGACTATGTGCATCATGTAGGTTCTAATGAGCTATGAAAAACCTGAAAAGAGTTTGGACTAATACCTTATTGCTGTCGAGATATTTCCCTCAGCAAAACTCGCGTTCAAATTTTAACTTAAAACTTTGTTCAGAGATAAGTCTTAATGAGAATAGTTTATTATGAAGGTTTCAGATTATTCAATTGCATTTATTCTAAAATAAAAACATTGAAATTCGCTGTTGTATATGAGTAGTGTGAAAAAACATACTTTCAGCATAGCTGTATCATAGTATAGAAGCAATCAATTTGACAATAAACTATTATCATTAAGACCTGTCTCTATGGAAAGTTTCAAGTCGACACTATTCAGTTTTTCTGAGAGAAATCACAGCACTCTGCTAAAAAGAAAGACAATACCACGACAGTAATAAGCTATTAGTCCGAACTCTTTTCAAGGTATTCATAGTTCATTAGAACCTACATGCAGAGTCTCGGCTCAAAAATGGTTTGAAATATATCTTCGTTAAGGCCTATTGGTAGACAAAATTTAAGTTCTATGCTCATGGGGCGAAAATCAACACTCAAAGACTAAAAAAACTAAACCATTACTCATCATTACGACGATTTTGGCAAGACGTGTTACTTGCATGAATGGTGTTACACTTAATTGTGTTTCTTCATATCGGTAATTGCATCATTTATATATAAAGCACACATTTATATACTCAACCAGAAGAGAAGAGAGTCAAGGAGAGACAGACAGAGATGGTCAATGATATATAGTAATGATAGAAGACAAAATAAAGTATATGATACAAATAAATGACAAGGTAAGGACAAATCATATGATAAGGGAAGGTTAAACTTCATATATGAACAGTCAATTCAATCTAGCAATGAGAATAGATAATGATACCCAATAGATTCAACCGAGAACCTTACAATCATGATCAATCAAATGGTTATGGTCTCAAGTCAAAAGTCATTGAAAAGTTGAGAACATTTCCATTCAAATCTAGTAAATAAGAACGAGGACAAAACATCACGTTAAAAAACAGTAGAGTATATCTATTACAAGTTTATCGAAACCTTGATGCTGTGCATCGATGCTTGAAATACATAATGGAAACGCTATTCTTGAATTCTATAGTAATAATATTAGAATTTATTAATGAATTGATCCTATGATTAGATTTATATTGAATTAAATAACTAAAAACAAATATGATAATTTATTTTTGTTCTAGGTTGATATTTATTTAACACGTGTATTTGCCGATCAATTATATTTATTTCAATATCCACTTCGTTCAAATCATCTTCAATTTGAAAATAATCCAACATTTATTGGTGCACGTTTAAAACCTAAAAATAAAGTTGTACAACTTGATTATGTTCATAATACACAATCAAATTTTTATTGTAAAAATAATGAAACAAATATAATTCAAAATTTAATATCATCAACAACAACAACAACATCATCATCATCATCAACAAATGAAAAAATTAATTCAATTGATCGTTTAACATTATCATCAACAAATGCAACATTTGGTGATAATTATAAACGTTTTGCTGTTGGAATTTTAACACCAAATGGTATACAACTTTCACCATTAAATGCAATATTTCAATTACGACCTGATTTTGATTCAACATCATCAATACTTGTTCAACAATCAATAACATCTATTGATGATGATGATAATAATAATAATAATAATGAAAATGATTCGAATTTTCATAAACAATCAAATTTACAAACGGATGATACAACAACCGATGAAGAAGTTAATGAACTTGTAACAATGAAATTTTGGAAACCAGAAGGACGTTTACAACGTGAGAAAAAAATTCGTTCATATAATTATTTTGAACGTGCTCGAAATGAAGAACGATGGATTGATTTTGCTTATTATTCATTAAATGAATTAAAATCTATTGAATTAAGAAAAAAATGGAGTATGATTAATAATAATAATAATAATAATAATAATATTAACAATAATGAAAAAAATCTTTTACCTATTCGTTGGAGAAAGATTATATCAATACAAGATTATTTTCAATTATTATTTTTTGATAAACAAATTATATTTGAAACTTCAATTGAAAAAGAAAAACCACAAATTGAATCAACAATTATTACTGAACAAAAACCATTAATTATTCCACCAACAAAATCAAAAAAAAAGAAAAAATCAGATCTCGATAAAACAACAAAAAAACTTTCGAGAAAAAGTATAGTAAAAAAAATAATAATAATGAAAAAATAAAACTTCATACAGAAAACTACAGTCGTACAAATGAGATCGGGATTCAATCCAAGGAAATCTATAGTAGATAGTAAAAAGTACCGCCTAATGAAAAAATCATTCTA